GTGTCTGATGCAGCACTGACTCTAACATGCTATGTCTGATGCAGCGGTGACTCTAACATGCCGTGTCTGATGCAGCACTGACTCTAACATGCTGCCAGACACATAGCAGAATGCCAGTAAATGTCACTGAATGGACAGCTTTAAGAGGATGGATGTCTGAAGAATCAACACATTGCTGAACTTTACAAACTGTTTTGGGATAAACCCCCTAAAGCCCCAAATGATCCAAGAATTTAAAAAAAACGGCAGGGGGAGAAGGACAGCCTATGACACAAAGTCCTGGTGTAGCACTGTGGATTAATGTACTGGACTGCAAAGTCAGTTTGAACCGCAAGGTCAGTGGTTCAAGCTCACCAGCCGCTCCTCAGAAACCCTATAGAGGGTCGCTATGAGTCGGGACCAACTCAATGGCACTTAACAACAACAATGACACAATGTGTGTGTGTGCTTACTGTCTGAAGGCTAGTGAAGTTATTTAATCTAGAACTGGTTGGAATTTACTCACGCAAAATCTCCTCCAAGGGTACAAACCAGCTGGGCCCCAAACACGCTCCATAAAGAAAGGCCTCCACATTCCCAAGTCACTGTCACAACACTATTGTCAGGAGACCATCGGATCAATTTCACAGCCCCTGTTTTGTTCCAAATGTCTGTGAAGAAATGATGAAAGGAGTTAAAAGTAAATCACTGTTTCAGAAACACACAGTGTATTTAGTCCATATCTTCTACCCACACAGAAAGGCGCAATTTCAGATAATCAAATGAATCCTGCTCATTTAGGACTATTCAATCAGGAAGGCCCTAAGTCTTGTCCTGATCTAAGTAGAACAAACTTGGTGCCCAAGTGACTGGAAAGAAGTAAAAGTCGTTTCTGGGCACTGTTAGACTCCCAGTGTATACAAGTAAAAGACTTTAGCGGTGAGCAGGTCAGTTTCTATAACAAGCTCTACAGCATTGATGGACTCAAGCGTGGCAACAGTAGTGAGGTTGGCCCCCCAGGATCGGGCAGTGTTTCGTCTGCTGTGCACAATGTCCCTATGGGTTGGTACCAACTCGATGGCACCTAACAACAACAACATAATGATTCAATACTGACTGTGAAAACACTTCGCAAAGCAAAAAGTCCGCAAGTAATACTGTGTGACTATCTTCATACTGCTATGAGTCAGAACCAACTCCATGGCACATAACAACAACAACAACAATCTTCATACTGCAGTTCTGGTGTGGTGCTGTAGGATAAGCACTGGTCTGCTAACTAAAAGGCTGCCAGTTCAAACTCACTAGCTGCGCCTTGGAAACCTTATATAGGATTGCTGTGAGAGGCAACCAACCCGACGACACTTAACAACAACAACTATATCTTTACACCATGTTGGCAATATAAAAGGGATGTAAGGCCAAATAACTTGACTTTCAACCCCTGTTGTTGTTATGTGCTGTCGAGTCAGTTCTGATTCATAGTGACTCTGTATAGGAGGGTCGTTTCAAGGAGTGGCTGGTGAGTTTGAACTGCAGATCTTGCCGTTAAAACTGACCTTGAGGTTGAATGCTTACCCTGTGGTACCACACCAGGCACCAGGACACTCGACCTCCATGAGGAATCAGCATACTGCAGCCTGAGGACTCACATCATCTTTGATCTAACAACGGTTCTTTCCACTCCATATACAGATAACGAAATATCTGTATAGTTGTTGTTGTAAGTGTTTCAAGTCTGTTCCGACTCACAGTGACCCTGTATAGGGTTTCCCAGCAACAGCTGGTGGGTTTGAACAGCTGAACTTGTAGTTAGCAATCCAGTACTTATCATACAGTATCATACCAGGATACCTCTACATATTTAATTACCTGTAAATACCTACATCTCCATATCCAGATAACGAAATATCTATGTCTATAATTTTAACTCATTCACTGTGTATTAAAATCCAAGTTTCTTAAATGGAGAATTTGAGTAAACATGCCAGCATCTCTCCTCTACAATTCCAAAAGATCTAGAGGATCACTTTCTTTTCAACAAAAATTCTTTCTATTAGAAGCTGCTAATAAAATAAGTACATATGCTGTAAAGGGAAGGCATACAGACTGCAGCTTGGTGACGAGAATAGTTTCCTCATCTGTGTTCGAATTCTTACATTAGCATTTCTCACCTTGACTATGTACCTGAATATTCATTTTATTTACGTAAGTAAAAGATAAATAGGAATATGTGTAAGAAACATAGTACCATACTTTACACTTATCCAGGTGAGGAATTTAAGTGCAAACCAGAAGAAACAAAGAAAAACAAACAAGTTACACAACTAAAGCAAGTGACCATGTAAAAAAAACCGAGGGGGAGGGCTTGGATATAGTTACTGTAATGAAAAGATGTCAGTGTTTGTAGACACAGATGGCTTATTATCAGTATTCCTAATACCCCGCCTGAAAATACATACATATATATTGAAAGTAAGTATTTTTAAAGCATATACATGAAAGGGTTTCAAAAAGTTCTAAAATCTAGTGGTAGGGATAGACATTAAAATGTTAATGATGTTTCTCTTCCAGGAAGTAAGACTTTGGGGGTGTTGATGTTGTAAAAACCAATATACAGTATGATCATCTCCACTCATGAGAAAAGTATGTTAAAAAGACATTCAGCAAATTTCTCTTACAGAGCTGAATCTCCAAACACAGACAGAAAAGTCTCTAGGAGTCAAAGGGCAAGAGAAAACGCAAGCCAGATTGGCTAGTGCTAGAGTTAGGCAGCTGCGGGCGGAGCGCAGGGAGACTGGCGGCTGTGCTGTGACCCAGCTCCTGACTACATGGATAGTACCAGGGGGCGTCAGGAGGTTCCTGGAAAAAACTCCATTCTCTTTCAATTCCATTTGTCCGAAGATATTCAGAAGCCCCCTATATTTCCCTTGGTTTAGTGATACTGTGAGAAGATTATAGGCCCCAGGGATGCAGTGAACCAAGAAATACTGCCAGAAGGTCTGATACGGCAGGGGTGAGGTAGACACTGTGATTGGCTAATCTTACATCTGTCCCAGCCTTCCTCTCTTTGCCCACTTTGGTCAGAAAGGCTGAGAACCCATGTGACCTAGCTATGGCCAGTTACATATAAGTTGGCTGGCAGCTGGAACAGGGGGATATATGGGAGGACTTCAAGAAGAAAGTATTTGCTTTTCTGATAAAACAATTGAAGTACCTTGCTTCCTCCTTCCTTCTGGACTCAGACGAAGCAGTAACGCTTAGGGTCAGGAGGAAGGCCCACGTACAGCAGTAAAGCTGACCTCTGGACTGCTTGCTTTGGAGAAAATAAACTATGGGTTTCAGCGGCAGCAAGCTGGGCATTCTGTTCCTTACAGAGGAGAGCATTTCCAGTGACACTAGGTGTTTAGACTGAGTCCTGTGGGCAGCAGAGACTCCCTAAAGGGTTCATTCACAAGATTTCTGAACCACTAATCCATTTACATACTGTACGCACAATAGGGTCTAGCACATCAGAGAGACTCCAGAAGGAAGTGTCAAAGGTATAAATGAAATCGGAAGAGATGAAATAACAGGGAACTTTAACAGGTAAGGGACGACAGCCAAATCCAGACAGGGGTGCAGAAGATAAAAGTTTGGTAACAACACTGAGGATTATTGTTGTTAAGTGCTGTTGAGTCAGTTCCGACTCATAGCGACCCTGTATAGGGTTTCCAAGGAGCGGCTGGTGGATTTGAACCACCAACCTTTAAGTCCAGTGCATTATCCTGCAGCACCACACGGAGAGGATGAAACAAAGGGACGTAATATGTGTTACAGGAGCTTCCCTGGAGACACAGAAATCCTCAGGCCACATGCAATATGGTTTTTTCGCTCCATCTAAGTTAAAAAATCAGTATTTGCTACACATTAACATTAAAAAACAAAAGACTTACCAGGATACTGTTTTGCGGTCAGTTCTAGCTTATGAGACAGCAGCATGGCACCAGTGGTGTTCTCGATTGTGTAAACCTGCACAGACCCACTGTGAAGACAAACAAGAAAACTTTGGTCAGAACGTTGAGAAGCCTTTTAAGACAACCGATTTCATGAAAAAACAAAGACAAACACAAATATAAAAAGTATTATTAAGAATACATCATGTTTGGCTGATTAGGAGTGTAAACTGGAACAGAACCATTTTTTATAAATAAATTTGAATAAATGTCTCTAGCAACTTTCCATGCTGTGCCACGGTTCGTGCATGTGACCAACAGCATCTGGCAGAAAGGGTGATGTTTCATTAGGAATAAAAGACTGCAGCTTCCATCCTCCTGAACCACCTGCTCTGGGTGAAGCCAGTGCCATGTTACTGACATACAGGTGCCTGTCAGCCACAAGACTGAACTAGAGGTGGGTTCCTTCATCCCAGTCCAGCCCTGAGATGACTACAGCCCCACTGGATACTGGACTTACAAAAGACCCTGAGCCAGAAACCCCAACACTTAAGCAGCTCCGGACTCTCAGAAACCAAGTCATAAAACAACACGCTTGTTGTTTCATAACTTACTTCAATAGCAAACATTACATAGAAGGCTATATTCATATATACAAAGCTAGATGAAGCAGACACGGAAAACGTTTATAACTTGAATCTAGGTTCGATGTAAATTTGGTGTACAGATTTCTGCACATTATTCTTTCAGCTTTTCTATTTGCTTACAAATTTCTTCTTAAAAAGTTAAATGAAAAAAATTAATATTCATGCATATTTCTGAAAATTTTTTTCACAATATTAAAGACACTGACCCTTCGTGCCAACACATTAAAAAATGTATATGAAAGAAAATACATTTATAGAAAACATGACTTAGGAAGAGATAGAAAATGTAAATCTTTTCACATCTATTTTAAAAACGGAATTGAATTTGCAGTCCAAAATATTCCCACAAAGAAAATTCCAGGCTCAGCTTCAGCTGCCTCTAACCACAAATTCTATCACATATATTCAAAAAGAACACAGAAGAGAAAAAGAGGAACCCTTCCTGAACTTGTTTTATAAGACAAACAACCTTGTTATCAAAATCTGGAGTTGGCAGTATTTGAAAATCCAGCTCACTTCATCTCAAACCAGAGTGTGGCAGCCTAGCCCGATTTAGCAGTTGGCTGTTTCATCTTTTCCTTTCTGTGGTACCAACTCATAGCAACCCTGTACAGGGTTTCCAAGGAGCAGCTGGTGGTTTAAGCTGCTGACCTTGTGGTTAGCAGTCCAGTGCTTAAGCTTCAGCGTCACACAACTTTCTAAAGCAAGACAACTGGAAAAGACAATGGATTCAAGTCATGCAAATGGAGTTTGAGTTCTTCTAGATGCTCTTCTCCACAGTTGTTGTTGTGTGCTGTGGAGTCGGTTCCGACTTATAGCGAGGTTGTACAAAGCCTAAAATTTAACAATTAACTTGATTTTCCATCTCTGAAAAGCCCATTTTTAAAAATGAAAATGCTCAACTCTCCAGAATTTGCTTTTAATATTTGTTTGCTTCAATTTGAACACACAGTTTCAGACTGTTTTTTTTAAGCAAGGCTGACTTAGAAATTATGAAAAGCATGACCAAGCTAACAAGTATATTATGCAAATCTTATGCTTAAAAAACATGATTTTTGGCAACCACTCTCAAAAATACACAAATCTACATTGCAATCAATGACATGAAACAAAATGTGTGAGAACTGTTCAATGGAAAACCGATTTGTCCTATAAACCTTCACCTAATTCACAGTTAAAGTTTAAAACTAAATAATAAAATATGAAAGTCTTTATCAATTACCTTGCACAACCAAATGCCATTAGTCGATACTTGTTATTTACAGCTACACAGGTTCCATCAACAACATCTTGGGGCCAAACTCCATGGAGCTGCTGTAAAATCAAAGAAGGACAAAGTAGTAGAGCAGTACCAAAAAAGCCAGTATGTGAGGGTAAATAGTAAAATAATCAGCCAAGGCATAGAAAGCAGTTGCCTCTGAATAGGGAGTAACTGGGGATGAGCTGAAGCGGAGAGGCAGGCAAGAACTATTGGTTTTCTTCAACATGTCTTAGATAGTTATTTGTCTATATTATTTACATGTCTACTTTTGATTTAAACATGATTTAATGACGACCTCTGAAATCCTAAATAAATGCAGAAAATAGGGTGTATGTGTGTTAAGAACAGTGAGGAAAATTAATGAGTGCAAAATGAAATAAACATGCAAAGTCAGCCAATCATACCTCTGCAGTGAATTTGCCCGATACTGGTGTAATAAATCCCACTTTGCCATCGTTAAACACAACAGCAAATCCATCTAGTGTGGCACAGTATTCCATGTCTCTGACGTACACGTCTGCAAAGCCCAGGAATGAACCTGCTGAAGAGAAAACAAAATACATGAATCACTCTCTCACATTCTATATGCACATCCTGTAAGGATCGTTAGAAGGACCAAATCACAGTCAAACAACATTACACTAGCCTTTCTTCCAGACAGTTATATGTATATATCTCTCCCTTGCATGATGATTCATTCCATAGCAGAAAAACTGATGTGCGTCCAGGCAAGATATCCTAAGTCCATTACCTCAAATACTATACACCAGGTTCCACTCCACGCAGAAAGTACACTTACCTCTAGTAGACTGTAGATCTACTGAAAAGGGTACTGTGCAAAGATCAATGGCTTTCCTTCCATTTGTCATGCCTTCCCAGTGAATAAGATGAAGAAGTCCGTCAGAAGTAGCAACCAGGAGATCTTCCAGCACAGACTGCAAACTGTAGGGAGTTAGCAATTTCGAGTCAGTTCACTTAGGAGGGAGAGCATGCTGGCTAAGTCATGAGAATACGAATATGATTGTTTTGGAGAACACTTAGGCAAAGAAAATCATGAAAACCATTTAGAAAACATTTCCATTTATCTGGGGTTTACCAACATAGCATTTTTACTTATCTATAATTCAACCTAGAAGGAGCACCTACAGTAGCATAGTGGTTACAAGTCGGGTTGCTAACCTTAAAGTTAGTAGTTCGAAACTACTGGTCATTCTGCAGGAGAAAGATAAGACTTTCTCCTTCTGTAAAGATTTACATCCTCAGAAACCCTGTACACGGTGACTTAAGAGTCGGAACTGACTGAATGGCACACAACCTCCACAGCCGCCAATTCAACCTAGAACTAGAGATTCTGGAAGAAATGAAGGACCATGGGCAGCTAAGGTCTTAACTTGATGACTAGGTTTTAAATTAGAAATATGAAACAGCAAATTAGAAGTAGAAGGATAAATGAGAGCTGACAAGAAAAGGAAGAGGCAGGGAAACTCAAAAGAGCCCGGAACTAAAACCAGGATGAGACTGTGGATCCACAGAGTATAGAGGTTCTGCACCAGAGCCCTTTAAAGTGTTGAAGAGCAACGATGTCAGCTTGAGGACTAAGGGGTGCCTGACCCAAGCCATGGCATTTTCAATAACGTCATATGCATACGAAAGCTGGACAGTGAATAGGAAGACTGTAGAAGAATGGATGCCTTTGAGTTATGGTGTTGGAGGAGAATATTGAAAGTACCATGGGCTGCCAAAAGAACCAACATAGATCTGTGTTGGAAGAAGTGCAGCCAGAGTGCTCCTTGGAGGCCAAGATGGCCAAACTTTGTGTCTCATACTTCAGACACATTGTCAGGAGGGACCAGTCGCTAGGGAAGGATATCATGTTTGGTAAGGTAGAGGGTCAGAGAAAAACAGGAAGACTTCCAGAGAAATGGATTGGCAAAGTGGCAGCATCAATGGGCTCAAGCTTGTGAGGTTGGCCCAGGACCAGGCAGTGTTTCATTCTGTTGTACATAGGGTTACTATGAGTTGGTACCGACTTGATGGCACCTAACCACAACAACAATCATTGTCAAGAGAACTTTCCACATCATTACCACCAATATGGTAGCCACCGACCACATGTGGTGATTGTGGTGTGTCTCAGGAACAATGTTGTATAAGTTTTTAATTTTTATTTTAATTAAATGATATTGCAATAACCTCGAGAGGAAGCAGGGGGGAGATAGATCCATAAGCTAAGGTGGCTGAGAGAGACAAGACATGATCTTCCCAGTTAAGATTTGAGAGACAGAACTGACAGGCTCACTGAAATATTTACTAAGCCCACACTTTGTGACAGGTTCTATGCTCTGCATTGGAGATTTAAAGGTGAATAAAATATAGCCCTCCTTTTAGAAGACCTCGCTCATTCAAGTACTGAAAAACAATTATGTAGTAGGGTATCTTATTTGGCAAAGATGTCTTAGCATTTTTCTTGCTCCCCTCAATAGCGGAGAATGCCTCTAGTCCTGGTTATATATTTGGCACTAAATGTTTAATGAGAGGGAGGGAGGCAGGAAAGGAGGACCCACGAGAAGACAGTGGAACCCACAAATGAAACTGCAAAGGGGCTGGCAAAGAGGAGACCAAAAGACCCAGGAGAACCCCCTGAAACCTGGTCCCAAGAAAACTGAGGGAGTAAGGTTCATTGAAGACAAGGAGGCAGTATTAAGTACTATACAGACTTCACATGTAAAAAGAAGGAATGTTTTATATCTACATTGATATCTAGACAGACATCGTATAGCTATTGATTTATAGATTAAAAAAAACAACAAAAACAAATTGAATGTCTGTGGTGATTCTGTGTCCAACAAGTCTATTGGTGCTATTTTTTCAACAGCATTGCTTAATTTGTATCTCTGTCACATTTTGGAATTCTCACAGTATTTCCTGCTTTTTCATAATGCTATTACATTCTTAATAGACCATGTAGGGTGCTGACGTAACTTTTACATGCCCTAGGAACAAGTGCGTGTAACTCACTTTATTGCAATGCTTTCCTCACTGCCGTGGCCTGGAGGGGAGCCCCCAGCATCTCTGAGGTGTGCCTGCATACACGTAACTTCATCGTTAAGGAGGGACCAGTGTACTTTAGGAGTCCTGGGGTGGCGCTGAGGGTTAAAGTGCTGGACTGCAAGGTCAGTTTGAACCGCAAGATCAGTGGTTCAACCTCACCAGTTGCTCCTTGGAAACCCTATACAGGGTCACTATGGGTCAGAACTGACTCAATGGCACTTAACCACAGCAAATGTATATATTTTAACCCTTAATGGGAAAAGTATATTTAACGTTTTTATTCTTAAACTAAACCAACAACTCTTTGTACAGCTGACTTTTAATGACTCACTCCCCATGGACTTGACTGTGCTTTGTCCTCAATGATAAAAGTATTGAGAAAGATTAGAATCAGGTGTTCCCTTACCCGGCACTCTCTCTTCAATGCCTCAGCATTTGGAATCAATTAAAATTCCCAAGTTACAGAAAGTTTTTAAAATTCACTTTTACAAATACTACATATTCTTTCAAGAGTCTACTTTAGGGGCAGAATGTATGTAACGTCATGAGGTGAGCAGAGACTAAAAACCACATGCTTTCGGTCTGCTGGGGCCACACACTGGGTTAGCAGAGACTCTCACTTGGCAGGACTCAGCCTCGATTTCTGTCAGACTCTACGAGGGGCTCTACGAAGCTCGTGGGAAAATGGAGGGAAATGAGAATGGAATTTTTCCGTAAACTTTTGATTTTTAACATTTTATTTTAACATTCTGAACATGAATTTTTCCATTAACATTTTCTCCTTTGCCCACACCCACCTCCTTCTCCACCTGAAGAGAATCACTGCACCTGGGAGCAATGGTGGTCAGCAATATGCAGACATGAAGGCTGAACAATGACTGACAACCTGCTCACCATCATGGAGAGAACACTTCAGATAGAGAGTAGGGCGCACACACTCGCTCCGTTCTCCTGAGCCATACCCCATCATGTTGCCCAGAGCCAAGCAACACATCTGAGGTATTCTTCACAACACTCAGTGGGTACGTTAGCGTTAGAAGAACCCTCCCCAATCCAGGCTCTAATTGGCTACAAATACGCTTCCTATGACAACAGGTCAACATTCAAAACCAAAGTAGGCCATTTTAAAGTTTGCAATGACAATTAGGGGCTCCTGGTATGGCGCTGTGGGCTAATGTGTGGGACTGCCAAGTCGGGCTGTACTGCGAGATCAGCGGTTCAAGCTTACCAATAGCTCCACGGATACAGGATCCCTATGAGTCAGAGCTGACTTACTTGACAGCACTTAACAACAACAACAACAACAATTAAAATCATTTTGTATATTTAAAAAGAATTATTATAGAGAGTAAAAATATGTTCCAGTCCTTCCCAAATGATAAGAAAAGGCTTAATTAAAATGTCACAAACTTCAACGCTAAGGAGAGAAAAAAAGGAAAGCCTTGGCTTTTTCATGAAGAAGTGTGCACTGCCTGCTTGCTCTGCTTGTGGCCTGGGGCAGCTGTGGAGGATAAGACTGCACCCACCCTACAGAGGCCCCAGTCCGGATGCAGAGGCGCTAGAACCAGGAACGGTGGTAATCAGGCACATCCCAACCAAAGGTGACAGCTGACAGGTAAGCTGGATCGTCTCAAACGCAGAGCAGGAGAATGAAGGGTGACTAAGGGGAGTGAAGACTTAAGGATAAAGAAGAGGCCCTACCAAGGCGAGGAATTATTACAGAGCTGTCAGAGAAGGCAGGTTTGTAGAGGAGGAGGAGGCAGAGAACTAGGAATGTGAACTGGGATACAAAGGAGAAGAGGCCTGAATTCGAATGCGGAAAGCTTGTTGTTGTGAGTGCCCTGTGGTCTGTATAAGGGGTCCAAGGAGCCACTGGTGGGTCTCAACTGCCAACCTCATGGTTAACAGTCCAGTGATTCTCCTAAATGCCACAGCAGGACTCCCCATATGATAAAACAGTAAGCCAATGTTAGGAAATTGCCACATTAGGCGTAAAGGAACCAGATGGTTTTTTTATAGACGGCATATGTCTGTCTTCAGCCAGCCAGCCAGCTCTCTCTACCCACTACCACTGAATCAGTTCCGACTCATGGGGGCCCTGAATAAGAGTTTCTGGGAACAGAAAGCCTTATCCGTTTCCCATGGATTGGCTGGTGAGTTTGAACTGCCCCACCTGCAGTTAGCAGTCCAGTGTTTGCTTACTCTACAGCGCCACCAGGGCTCCTCAGACAGGTGGTAAGGGTAACACCACCACTAGGGAGGTACGGCCCTAAGATTAATCAACTGTTTAAGATCAAAACAGTAGCAGTTCCCCAAGGGGCAGAGTTAGGTAGGACGAATGGAAACATGAACCTCAGGGAGGAAGTGGGACCATGATGTTACAGTAAGGGGACTTCAATGCCTAAGATAAAGCAGAACGAGTGTGAACTGCTGGCTTCAAAACTGATGAGGTGCTCTGAAAACCCTCACCAAGTTCACAATAAAATATTCAAATAAAAAAAGTATGTCTGGCAAAAATATGGGGCCATTGCTGGGGGTGGGGGAAAGAGCTCAGACAGAAAATCACACAGTACGAGAGGCAAGAAGAAAGCCTGAACTGAGGCAATGGGAGCAGTTTTCACTGATGGAAATCAGGAGATGGATTTGACAAGGGGAAAAAGCAGTCAGCATAATTAATCAACTGAATGTAAAGGGAAAGAATAAAGGACGGGTCACGGGCTACTGGGCAGGACGACTTTAATACCCAAGTAGTGAAGACAGACAGGTTCAGGAGACGTCAGGGTTAGCACTGCGATACCTGCAGGCTATCACCCCCACATTCAGACAGCTGGGACACGTGTCTGCAGCTGAGAAGCTAGATCAGGGCTGAAGACAGATTTGGGATTCCTCACACAGCAGCTGTGTACAAAATCTTCAAATCTTTGGCTGATGCTTGAACTATACATGATGAGGGTGAGACTTCAAGAAACTTGGGGAAAAACACAGGCAGAAGAGGCTGAACAGCTGGGATTTTCAGCAGCTGTCCATGGCAGAGGAGACGGGAGTTTGGAGTAAGAGTCAGATGAAATTAAGAGGGGCCTGAAAAACACCTCAAACTTTCCATTTAAAGGCCGAAGGGGCCACACTTTAGGAGTGAAGAGTGTACCAGGGCTATAAGCACATTCCAGTAGATCCACCCAAGAGATCCGATTATCCTACAGTCATTTAATTACCTGCGAGGCAAAACACAACTCTTTCAACAAAGTTAACAGAACTCAGAGACACTGTAACATTATCATTTTCAACACTGCTATAAAAACAATCAGATGTGTGAATACATAGGAAAACGTGACCCGAGTCAAACGTCAATACAGGCCATCCTGATGTTGGAATTAGCAACTGTGACTAGGAAGCTACAGGAAATTATATTCTTCTCTTCATTGGAAAGCAAATGAACTTATCAAAACAAAGGCTTGATGTCAGTTGTTAATGACACAGATTTCTAGCCACCAGCTGCTGCTCACTTGATTCCGACCCCATGTGTGTCAGAGCAGGGTTTTTAAAGAGCTGATTTTTCAGAAGCAAATTGCCGGACCTTTCTTCTGAAATGCTTGTCGGTGGACCTGAACCACCAACCTTTTAGTTAGCAGCCAAGGTCATTAACCATTTGCAGCACCCAAGAACACCAAATAGAAATATTTAATACAAAATAAAATGTTTAATACTAATATTGAACAGGAGTCCTGGTATAGCATGTAGGCTAAGCACTCGACTATTAAAAAGTTGGCAGCTCAAACCCAACAGTTGCTCCTTAGAAACTCAATACAGAGTCGTTATGAGTTAGAACCGACTTGATGGCACTTAACAATATTAAACACCAAGTACTTTATAGTGCTTTCTTCAGTGTTGGAGATGGGGGGAAATATGGAACGAAATGGTGGCATTTGAAAGTTGGGAGCAAAGTGGTTCCATAGGATAAGCACTGGATTGCGAACCACAAGGTTGGTGGTTCAAGCCCACCAGACACTGGGAGAAATATCAGGCTTTCTGTTCCCACAAAGATTTAAAGCCTTGGAAACTATACAGGGTGGCTATGAGTTGAAACTGACTCAGTGGCCTTTAACAACAAAAGCTGAAAGTTAGAAACTTTCCAAGAATTTTGATTGTGAGTTATTTAATCACTTTTTAACCTTCTAAATATTCTCTATTCTCAATTAATAGTGAATTTGCATACTTAGTATTAGAGCCATAGTCTTTCTTTAATCAAAAATTCAAGGATGGCTACTTTCGTTCCTACAAGCAACAATTAGAATCATTATCCTGAACTTTATTTGGCTGACAATTTTTGGTGTCAGGAAGGAACATAGTTGGTTACAAAGCTTACGCATAATCTTTTTTCTCACTTAATTCAAAATTGTATAAAGCATCTCTAACCACATTTCCAGCAAACATGTGTTTGTTACTGGTGCTAATAACATAAAATTGCTCTAAGATGCCATTTTTATTGGTATTTTAAGAGAGACCTTGGTGATTTCGGAAAGCTTAAATTTATAAATTTAAAAATAGCATCTGAGAGGTTAAACATTCTGTGCTGGCAGAAATTCTTTTCTTGAAAGTTTTTTCTGTCCCATGTCTATGCACCCTACAGTTCCTATCTCCAGATGGGGCTAGAGAGCCATGCTTGTGCAGTTTCACAAGGCTTGGTACGCCCCAAAGTTTCCTTTGTGTAGGTTACAGTATTTCTTGAAAAGTAATCTCTATGTGGAGCTAAATGAAATCTGAGGTAACGGTAACAAGTAATCTGACCAAGTATCTGAACTCAATCTTTTGTAAAACTGATCACATGTAAGCAAATAAAACCAAAAATGACATTCTTTTTTAATATGAATAAGATATACAAGGTTGGATTAAATGCAGCTAGGTAAAAGCCAGTGACTGGCATAGAATTTTATTTACTATGGTCCAGTGCCATTCTGTACTGTGTCCTAACAAGAAAAATGATGAAAGAAGCTTTTATTTGAACTGTGAGTCAGAAGGGTGTTTGTTTTCTAAAGCAGGCATTACATTCCTGTACCTCAACAGTCACACATTTCATTCATACAGTTCAGTATTCAAAAGAGCACACAGTACCCAGAGTCTTGCTTTTAACCCTGTCTCCCAGCCGCTGTGCACCAGTTTCATCTCTAGTACCTTAGGTTTCCTTTTAAGAATATCCAGCCTTTAGCACCGCCAACTCCATTTTAAAAACAAATGGCAACGTTATTATATACCAGCCACACATGTGCCTTGCGTATTTCACCCAACAATTACTGTTTCCCTAGTGTTCTCACTGAGTTCATCGCTGCATACTATATTCACTGTGTGAATATAAGAATACGCATTTTGGCTGCTTTCAGTCTTTTGTTCTTACAGCATGAACAACGTAAGCATGTCATCTGCATCATGAATGGGGATCTGTAGGATAAATTTCCAGCAGCAGAAATGCTGGAACAAAGGACACACATAGGTGTAATGAGGGGGTTCGCCTATTATCTCTTGCCTGGCTATTCCTTCCTTAGCTGCACTGTAGTCCTTGAAAATCTACATGGATGGATTTACATCACCATTAGCTAAGAACAGAACACTTCATTTCTACATAGTGAAAAACCCGAAGAAATTCTGACAGATTAACTTGAAGGCACCTAACAACATTTCATAAAGAAAAGTTGTTGTTAAGTACCGTAGAGTCGCTTCCGACTCACAGCGACCCTGTACAGGGTTTTCCAAGGCTGCAAATCTTTACAGGAGCAGAAAGCCTCATCTTTCTCCCACAGAACAGCTGGTAGTTTCGAACTACCGACCTTGAGGTTAGTGGCCCAATTTGTAACCACTACGCTACCAGAGCGAGGGCTAAATATTTTCAATTGTAGCAAACATAGGAAATCTATGAGATTTTTCATTTACTCAACAAATTTTCCCTGAAAATAGGCAATTGTCTTCTAAAAGTGGGAAGAAAATATGAAAACAATATTTGGGGTCAAGTGAGCTCAGAACGTTCTCTATACATTTTTTAAAATGGTGCACAGCTTCCAGCTCAGGGATCAGCGTTTCAGAGAGGAACTCGAGCGGTCTCTCTTTTTTTTTTTTAAAAAGCTCCACAGTTGACTGTTGACGTCCACTCGGAGGCGAGGCCCCGGGGACAGGGCGAAATGTGGTTTGAGGTAAGAGCAAGAAAACAGACCAGTCTCTAAGCAGGAGCTGCTTCAGCTGAGTGTCTGAGAGGATTCTGCAGCCAGAGGCAGGAGGGAGTCAGGTTATGGAGCATGCAGAGCTGAAACCCTCAGAAGCTCTCAGCAGGAACACACCTAGATGCAGAGCCTCTATTATGAAGACAATTGGTATTAGTCAAGAAAATGAAGTCAGTGGGCCTTAACTAAGATCGTTAACATGGGTTCAATAGGAGATGAGGCTGATTGGCAGTACCCTGGGCTGAAGAGAAAGGTAGTTAGTAAAGGCTGACCTAGGTTTCTGGAGAGCTTAGGGACCTGATGGGCTGTGCTGCTGACCAGAGAAATCAGGCAGAGCTAAGGCAGAGAGGCAATACAGACCTAGGGTTGTTGTTGTTAAGTGCCACAGGGTCCTACCGTGACAAACCCATTACAATGTATACTGTCATAAGCACTGTTAAGTTTTAACCAAAGTATCATACCTCATGATAGGTGCTTGTAAGTCCAATATTTTCTTCATCTCTAAATTTAATGCTGGCGCACACTGTTCTTCCTTAAAATGTGGTGTTCCCTTTGTTTGTGAACTTCCTCTAAAAAGAACAGCAAAATACACAGGATTAAAGAAAAAGATACAGAATTTTCCTCCACAGACAAGATCAGTACAATTAAACCTGCAAATCAGGTGTTCATCCTTTAGATTCTGAACGACAACCAGACTTACATTCCATTACAGCTGACCCATCTATTTACCAACGGAAAGTGAGTCTAACATAGATGGCAGAGGGAAAATTCAAGGGGAAAACCAACGACAAACGTGAACTCTCACGGGGACCCGCAGACATTTTATTTAAAATGAGGGGTGGTCCTTCCTGAGTACAGCAGCTATGGTGTATAAAGTGTGTGTCCCAAGTGGGCTACACTGTGTCCTTGATTGTCATTTCTTAGGTGTGTATATTAACTAAGGGCAGGTTCAGGGAGTAGGACTTTGAAAAGCTCTCACATTTACGGGGACTCTAGGAAGCCACACGCATGTTCAGGAAACACATGAGGTCAGAAAAGACCCGACGAGATCACAGGCTTGTGACTCTGGATGAGCTGAAGAATTAGCACACTCGTAGCAAGGGCTGAGAGAACTAGAACAGCCTGACTCAAGAGTCCCACGTGGAGCGGATCTGCCTCTTCTTTTTGGGGTCGGGGGTGAGTGGTGGCTCTGAGTGTTTATGCATTTGGTTTGAGTTACGGTGGTGGAGAAGAATATTAAAAGTATCATGGACTGCCAGAAAAACAAACAAATCTGTCATGAAAGAAGTACAGCCAGAATGTTCCTTAGAAGCCAGCACAGTGAGACTCTGTGTCTCATAGTTTAGACATGTTATCAGTAGGGACCAGTCCCTGAAGAAGGACATCAAGGTTGGAAAAGTAAAGGGTCAGCAAAAAAGAGGAAGACCCCCAATGAGATGGAGTAGCACACTGGCTGCAGCAATGGGCTCAAGCTTAACGACAATTGTGAGGATGGCGCAGGCCCGGACAGTGTTTTGTTCTGTTGTGCACAGGGTCACTATGGGTCAGAACTGACTCGACGGCACCTAACAATTGAGTAAAAGTAAGGAGATTTCGGTCAAATCTACACTGTATGTGCCACTGATATCACACTCAGTTTTGGTTTGTGTTTGATTTGTTTTCCTTCCATTTTGGTCTTTTAACCTTGATTCCTGGGAGTGGGTCCTGTATCAACACAGCCTAGTGTTCAGGATGTCAAACCCCTGTCATGAGTGTGTTTGGTGGGAGCTCATATAAAGCTGGAGTAACTGTCATGGTTGCCTAGCTGCTGCTTTTTGCCACCCTCTCATGAATCTCCCCAGTTCATTTACAGCCTCCCAGTCATCCTGGGATGTGTAGAGAACTTATGTATACATTTTTAGCACTGTCACTGCCAGAATCTCCTTGTTCAATTTTTGGCTAGTCTACTGATCTTTCCCTCACCCTAGTCCTGATTGCAGTCTCGAGCTACCTGCACTGCACACCTTCCCGATTTGTTTCCAACCAACTTTGCAGTTAGAGAGCAACAGGCCTCCGATACAGTGCTGGTAGGAGTGTTGCCAGCAAGTGAAATCACAGGGAACACAATTTGGCAGGAGCTACTGAATTGAGATCTGTAGATGCTATGAGATAGCAGTTCTATTCCTAGATAAAAAATCAGCAGACTGTGTACAGGTACACTTTTCCTGAAGAAAGATGCACAGGAATGTTCACAATAGCATTATTTGTAAATTTTAAATAATCTAATTGTCCCTCAACAGAAGCACGGCTAAATTATGTTCACGCAATGGGATATTTAAGTCAATGTACAGAACACAAATATAACTGCAGGAAAAAATAGATTATACACATATAGTACTAAAAATTTCAGTCACAAAAGAATATATACTATATGGTTCCATTTTCATAAATTTCATAAATAGGCAGAAACAGTGTTTCTGTAGACACACATGAGTAAATAATACCATAAAAAGGCAAGGAAGTCATTATTGTAAAAGTCAGGTAGTATTTGTAGCCTGGAGCAGAAAAGAATGAAGACAGCATGCAGAAAAGATACAATAAGATGTTTTCCGGATTTTTCCAAGTGTTGGCTGAGAGTGGACAGCAGACTGCAGACACTGACATGCATTCTTTGATAACCATATGCAATAACCTAATGCAACAGACATCAAGCCATGTATGCAGAGAGTACCATCTGTGTAACACATTTAGAAAGTCACGAAACAAACACTGACGTTTAAGTGATAATGGTTCTCAGGCTGTCCACAGCAGATGGCCTAAACAAACATATGTAATCTCTCAAGTTTACGAGGTTATAAGTCCAAATTCAGGGCTCCGGCTGGCAGGGAAGGCCCTCTTCTCCTTTCAACATCTGTGGGCCTAGGGTCCCTTGAAGAGCTACGTATGTCTTGACATCAACCTATTGGGTCTAGAAAGCTCTCAGTACAGGGACCCCAGTACAAAGGACGTGCTCCACTGCCGGCTCCTCTTTCTTGGTGGGACTCAGGCCCTCTTCTCTGTTAGCATCTCTCTTCTCTTATCTCTTGTGAAATCAAAGGTGATGCAGGTCAAACTCCAGGGAAAGTCCCATGACATCAAATCAGGGTGTGAACTGAGTAAGGCTGTGCATTCAAGCCTCATCTCCTGACACTGGAGGACTTTTAACTTTTTATTCTGATGATTTGGTGAAAATGTACAAAGCAAACTGGTTTTCCATTCAACCACTGAGTATCACTGCCCAGCCCACCTGACACACATTTTGAGGGGAAACAATTCAAACCACAATAAAGACCAAGAAAACTGGGTTTCTAGACTGTCTGAGGGGACTTCCAGGACCTGTCCGAAGTCCTCTCATAGTTGTCTAAAGCTACTTCTTCAAACACTTCGGTTTCTTTATAAAGAGAAAGCCTTCCAGGTGCTTAGCTTTAATCTAATACATTTAATCTTGATAAATTGCAATGAATTCTGCATATGAAATTCAATAATATAAACTAGCTTCAGAAGAGACATCAGAAACTCAAGGTTACTACAAAAATCCAGTGTAAGGAAAATCCAATCATTTCACTTTATTTACAAAAAGTGATTTACACTGGACACGTTAAGACCTTGTATGTTAAGTACAATGTATCTAGAGATACTAGATTACCCTTATCACTAGAGTGTGCAGTCAGTTTCTTTATATTAACTTTTTGTTTTTGTTTTTTAGTCACTTTATTTGTGCTCTATAAAATGAGCTTAGAGTCAGTAACAGGAGTTCATTGTGATAACAGAGGTGCACAGAATTTTCAAATACAGTGTGTATGAATACTGCTGCCAAGGTTCTTGACAACATCAAGTTTGTGGCTGTTGACATTTGCTACATGACTCGATTTAAGACTTGCTTTCAACTAACAGCACTTATGTTTTGAGGGCAATTTTCATTCTTCAAATTCATCATTCTTTAAAATTCTAGTTCATTATAATCACATATAGTGAACTAGAATTCCCTTCTTTTCTGAACATATTTAAATGGTTTAAAATAAAGCTTAACCATCATAACTTAATGAGACCCTAGTAAGAACTATACAGTTATTTTTCTCATTTTATAGAAAATGACAGGAAAGCATAGAAAGTAACTAAAAAAGTAATTTTTCCAAAATCATTGCCAGTAAAAAGTAGAACCAACATTGGAACCTATGCCTCTTTGATTCCAAATGCCACACTCTTATCCACATGTCTATTCAAGGCAGGGTTATCAAGTCCAAGACAAATACCCTAAGGAGGGAAACTGAAAGTAAGCCAGTTTGAGTTTTGTTTTTACAGTATGTTTTGCATAAATTAAAAGTAAAATTACCCAGTTTTCCAATCTAATGAATGGCAAGGCATTCAGGTAAACAAGTTGCTCCCAAAGGCAATGCAAAATGCAATGCTTCTCATGAAGCAGGTCAACTAGGAGCCAAGCTTTAAGGAGCCAGTAATTCCCAATTCTACTGATAAAAAACCAAAAACCAAGTGTATCACAAAAACTGGGTAAGTCCTAAAGGAAATGCAACAACAAAGACTGCTCTAAATGCAGATCACGTATATAAACCTGCACAACATCAGGCTAGGTCAGGGGACACAGAACTGTCACTACCCAAGTAAATGCAGCAAGCACTGATTTCAGTAAACTCTACTGTGCAAGAGATTTCAATCTTTTAATTGTCAACTAAAGAGCAGTGCAGCATTGGACACATCTGCTGTCCAAGACCTTTTTAAAGTGTTGAAGAGCAAAGATGTCAGCTTGAGGACTAAGGTGCACCTGACCCTAGCTATGGTATTTTCAATCACCTCAGATGCATGAGAGAGCTATACAGGCAACCATAGAATTGATGCATTGAGTTATGGGGTTGGAGGAAAATATTACAAGTACCATGGACTGCCAGAAGCACAAACAGATCTGTGTTGGAAGAAGTGCAGCCAGAATGCTCCCTGTAAGCCAGAATGGCCAGACTTGGTCTCTCATACTTTGGACATATTGTCAGGAGGGGCCAGTCATTGGAGAAGGATATCATGTTTGCTAAAGTGGAGGGTTGGAGACAAAGAGGAAGACCCTCAATGAGGTGGATCGTCACAGTGGCAGCAGCAATGGGCTTAGCTGTACCAACAATTGTCAGGTGGGCCAGGACCGGGCAGTGTTTCGCTCTATTTTGCGTAGGGTCGCTATGAGTCAATACCCACTCAATGGTACCTGAGAACGGCAGCAGCAGATAGCCTATGGATCTGGGGAGGATGGGCACTTACAGAATCACACAACTTCCTTCCCTAAGGCCTAGCTTTCCTCCCAAGGAAAGCTCAAGTCTTCTTATTTAAAAAAAACAAAACTTCTCCGGACACCTAAACACCTTCCCCTGAGTGGTAAGATTTTCTGGGTCTGTTCATGCCTTTGGCCTTTGTCACTTTATGTTGCCATTACCTTCCAAGATTTCTCTCTCCGAAAACACCGCATACTTTTCTAGAACTAGAGTAGAGCATTGTTAGAACTAGATTAGGCATACAGCATTGTTGTTGTTGTTGTTGTTAAGTGCTGTCG